CCGCCCCGGCGTGGCGGTCGTTGTCCCGCGCACCTGGCGGGGCGGGGCGGGAGGGCGTCTCGAGCGGGCTCGCCCTGCCCTCGCGCGTCCGCCGCCGCGACCGTTAGCGCGACCGTTACCAGCGGGTGAGCCGGGGCGGGTGGGGGGGGGAGGGTCTCCCCTGGCCCCCGGCGGGCCTGGGACGCGCATGTTTCCGTGCCCCGACTCCCCTCCCCGCCCCCCCCGGGTTTTCCCTCAGAGGCGAGGTGCCTGAGGTGGCGGGCTTAGACGAAGCGAAAATCCCACACCCTCGCCCCGAAAAAAAAAAAAAAAAGACGTTACACCTCTCTCCTTGGGCGGGAGCCGTGGGTGCCTTTCTTCGCTGAGGCCCTGGTTCCTGCCGGGTTTGTGGCAGGGTGCTCCCCGCTGGACAGATGCCATAAGGAAGCGTTAAAAAGGCTTTTATCAGGTGTACTTTATACGCGCGTTTCATCGCTGGCGATTTTCTTGTAAGAAAGTGTGATTAAATGCTGAACTGTACCACCAAACGTTCGGCAGAAGCTTCTCCAGAAACAATAAAATCTTAATACGCTGGAATAGGATGAGAAATCCTGGCTGTGCGCCAGGCAGAGGCGTGTAATTTGGAGTGGGATTTTTGAGATGTTTGCCTTATCAAGTGTCAAATTAACAAGGTTATTTTATCGCTCCTTTGAGGCTTTAACTCTCAAGTGGAAATGCTGCTTCGGGAGGGCTTCACTGGTTGCCACCCATAATTGTCTACTTGACACCCGCTTTGAAACATCTGCTGCTATGACATGGAGAGCTCAGCTGCTTGCCAGGCAGCAGCTGAACCAGCACAATTTCCAGGCTAGTATATCACTCAAGTATATGTGACGCTCCTGCTTTTAAGATGGTAGTCTGTAACTTATGCTTGTTTAACAGCTACCGCAAAGCATCTGAGGTGCTTCTGGATTGGGAAGCGGTGGAAAGCCGGCAACCTGCTGTCACCAAGCGTGCAAAGGTCTGTTCACTGGTCGCAAACTTCTGGTCCCTTTGTTACAAGAGCTAAAATAAATGCACAGAGACCGTGACCTGCAAACAGTAAATTGTGCCTTGTACTTTAAAATGATCTTGTCCATTCTGGCCTTGTCCCCGACTTAGTGATATAGGTGGGCATAATCAGTAAACTTTGTGTCTTACAATTTACAATCATAAAATGATAGAGGCGAAAGACGTCTTTATGACTTTTTGGTCATTTTGCCTTGTAAGTGTGAGGTAAAATGCGAGATAATCTGTAACAGCATGCTTTCTAGGTTTCTACTCCTAAAATCCAAAGCACTGAGATTTATATCGCTTCTTAAAAACGGCTGATTTGCCACATTAATTCATGCTGAGGAAGTACTGGTTGATGACTGTCACATTTCCTTACTGTTTCAACTTATATCCCCCAAACTACCCCAAATAAGTATTATCAAGTCAAATTCTTGTCAACTATCTTCCCAGTCTTTCCAAATCCAACAGTCTTCCTGAGATCACAGTATTTATAGACATACTAAATAATTTGTGTTTACTAATGGAAGGGGCTCAATTTAAAAAAAAAAAAATCCTTAATTGGGAAAGGCAGTCTATCATGTATTTAATCTTCTATCTGCTGTAAATTCCAGTGAAGTAAATGAAATTTCGGTTCATGCTTAAATTTGTGCATATGTAAGAATTTAATTTAAGCATATGTAAATATATGTAAGGTTCTGTGAATCAAGGTTGAGATTTGCCTCACTGGACTAACTGTGACAATTGCCAGACTTATTCTAGTTGAGTCACTTTCACATTTCTGTGTTACATTTTGTTCTGTAGAGGGTTTGACTTAAACACATTTGCTGATGTATTTATTTCTACTAATGGCCCAGTCACATCAGATACTCGTCTTAGTAGCTCCTTTGCTCATATTTCTTAACACATCTGCACATCCTTGATCTATGCTTTATAACTGGAATTTCATTTGTTCAGTGTAAGTCTGCTGATATCATCAGTTCTGGTCAAATTTATATATATCCATACAGCCAGATGCACAGATGGTATAAATCACCTCGTCACCACCTATGTCAATACAACAATACTGATTAACATTTCCTTATGAACCAAATGACATATATAGAAGTCCCTCCTTCCCATTATTTTCCATTTTGAAATAAGCCTATTTCTTAGGGTTTTATTATTTTGCTTTTTGTAATATAGCAGCCTTTACAATGGCTTTCTGTTCTAATTAATGTGAAGAACTGCAGAGCAAATACCTGTTCTGGAGAGTTCCCTAGTTCCCTCAAAATCTGATTCAATCAGCTACAGTTGCATAATTTATCTCCAGTCTGCTTCTTCGGAGGGTTATTATAGCACTTCAATTTAAAACAGTTCCTAAATACAACACTTTATTTTTTTTTTTAATCTGCAATTTCTGGGAGGGTGTATGTATGAAGTGAGTATCTCCTTGCTCTCTAGTTTTCTCAGCATGCTAAATTGATCTACCTAAGTGGCTATCGCATCCTTATTTTTAGCAGCCTGCCATTGCAGATCTGCACAAAGGCCAATCTTTCTTCTGTAAGAAAGGAGCGTGCAAAAGACGCTCAGCATTTTCAAGGGATCAGCATTTGCGAGTATTGTGGTGACTTTGCAGACAAAAGAATAAAATGTCAGGGACTACGGTAATGAGGGATTCAACCAAAGCATTTCAGAAGCCGAAAAAGACTGTCAGTCTTTACCGTAGTTGTTTTTGAAACAGCTGCATCTTCTCCATGGCCTGGATTCTGCCGTCATAAATGCGGGTCTGGCCATTGAGCACAACTGCTCATAACTGTAGGTAATCAGCTGGTCACTACCTGTTGCATGGTTGGGGCATGCACAAGCATTATATATGCAAATATTTGCATATATTATATGTGTACTTGCACTATTATTGTTAATAGTACTTCAATGGTCTCTTTCTCTAGGCAACTTGTGTCCCAAGTATTTATTCTGCTACAAGGCATTTTAAGTAGCAGAAGGTCTTAGGTAGTTTGTTTTGTACATCATATTTTGTATGCGCATGTATGTGTGTATGTACACAAATATGTATGTAGACACAGGCAAACTCATACGCCTGTCGCAGTCTTGATCAACCATAATTCATAAAAACAAAATACAAATGGAACAGAAGTTAAACAAGATTGTTGCAAGAGGAGTGGAATGAATGGAGCCTTGTTTTCGTTTTTTTCTGTGTCTCATATTCCTAAACCTCTTTGCTTTAGTAACTGCAGTTCCTCTCATGACCCATATAAGTCACCTTCATTCAGATCCCTTTATATTCCTCACTGTGCTTTTTGGTTTGCCACTTGTTCCAGATTCACTTTAGTCTATGACTGACCAGAGCTATGAGTGCCCACACTTCTTGGCTAGCCAGCTGCATGTCTCTGTGAAAGTGTCTGTAGGGTTGCTGTGATTTACACAGCCATTATGATTTTTATGAAACATGTAGGAACTGAAGATGCTTGAAGCCCCTGTACTTTGATAACTCTGGATTAAGTGGGGTAAAAGTTATTGGAAGAGGATTGACAGACAGACACCACAACTTTAATTTTCTTTAGAATCGAGGTTTCCAGTTAAGCATTGGACCCTTCAGCCCTGCTACTGTAGACATATCCTTGCTCACTGATTGAGAATTAGCGGGTTCATTGAAGACTTGTTGCTACTCTGTATAACGTTTAGGGTAGATTTGAAGGATTATGGCTCACAGTCTTGAATTGTGTTAAAGTATATATTTAATCCCACACTCTCCTTCCCCCAAATAGGTAGCTAAGAAATATCTTTTAAAAATAGTAATTAATTCTGAAAGTGAGAATTATGCTCTGCTATATGGGTGGTTGTGAAATGTGTTCTTGTCAATATAAAATAAAAAGGTTGTAGCAGGTCAAACACTTGTGAATAACAAAGATTCTGCTGTTGTGTTGTTCTCTGAACCATAAGAATCCTCATCACTACTCTTCACTACAGTTCTTTAGACATAGTACAAGATATACTTTAGCTTTTATAGGAAAAATAAGGAACCATCTATCAATAAGCAACTTGCAGGGGAAGTACGAATGTAGTTATGCTAACTCATTAAAAGTTCAGCATTAAGCCTGAACTACTTCACTCTGTGCATCTGCCTAGCTTTTGTTATGTTAGAGGAAATACAAAGTTTTCACTTAACTGTGGTAAGTTTTTTCTGTCCACCTTCTCTTTGCCAGACATTGAGATGAAAATAACTATCTGTGCTTGACACAAAGAAGCAGAAGATAAAAAAGAAAATTTGAATTGAAAGTGGAACTCTTAAATCATTTTCAAAGGTACTCAAATTTCCTTCCTAAAATTATTTCAAGCTGTATGAGTAAAAGATTGGAGACATAGTCTGAATGATTGCATGTGCTAACAGTATATGATTTAAGAATATTTCCAAGTTTTACATTTAAAAATTCTATTGTCCTAATCAAAGGGCTGTACAAGCATCTGTGCTGTCAGAATCAATTTGTCATTCATTACTTCTGTCCTCCAGTTTAATAGTCTTTTATCTACACACACACACACACAAATATAAGTAGGCACTTTTAAAGACTGTTGTATCTGTCTTAGGGTTAAATTGATTGGAACTTTATTGCACACTATATAAAATTGTATTGGGCAATGCATTAGAAGATTAGGGAAATTATAATCTACTGGAAAACCCAACAGCATCTAAAGTAGCTTCTCTGGAAAAGCATTTGCAACCGTGGTCAGAGAACCAGGAAAATTATTTGCCTTTCCTTGTATTACATAATGTTAGCAAATTGGACCTTCGTTTTGCACTCACATAGTCATTTGCCTAAATGAAAT